CATCCCCAGTGCCAAAGGACAGCCTGGGAGGAGAGAGAGAACTGGTATCTGGGTATTTGCTGATACGAACTAAGAAAAGGAAAGGAGAGCTGCTTCTTGAGAGATCACATGGAGGAGGTGACAAACCAAGAGCAGGTCACGATGTCCTAAGAGAATGAATTTCTGCTTAGGCTGTTGCAGGAGAAAGGCTGGTCAGCTGGAGCTCAGCAGTGGGGAAAGGATTAGCGTTAGCAGCAAGAACTACTTTAACTTATTGGTGTTTGAGGTATTGTAATGAATGGAGGAATTGAGCTATTTATAGAACCCTATAACTGAGTTATATATAGCCCTAAAAATTCAAATTCCTGGGTCTCAGTTTGGCTTGTTCTATTTCAAGATGAGAATCCGTATGTAAATTCTGCTTTGCTATCCTAAAGTCTTGCCAAAAGTTTATTTAAAGAGCACAACTTGGCAGAGACTGCTCTCTTGTCTGCAGCTTTGCATTGAGTCCTATATCCTCTGTTGTGGTCAGTGCTCTTGTGGCTATTTCGTTTCTGGTCCTTTCTGCTATTTTCTTGTTATTTCTCTCTTATCTGCCTATATTCAAGTCAGACTCCGAGACAACCGAGGCTGAGAAGAGCTGCTTGTACGTAGCTGTGGAGGTCAGCCAAGGGACAGTGGTTTCCTACTGAGCTGCTCGTCTTGGTAACAGCAATCTTAAGTCAGCAAGGTAGAAAACTGCTGTTTGGGATTTCTAGCACCAGTACACCATGCACTGGTCGGAGCGGCAGAACAGTGCAGTGATTTGGAAACAGGTATTATGGCAGGTCTGCAGAAGAGCTAATGACCTGACCCTGTTCTGAAAATGGCCATTAGGCAAGAGCTGGAAGAGCAGCACTTGAGGATGTGAAGAGTGTGGTGCTCTGTTGTTACGAGGATTAGGGAGAGCTGCTCTGATTTACCGCAATTAAAAGGCATTCTGAAATGCTGCTGCTCATGCTCAGTCTGTTGCTCTGTAGGCTTATTAGTGTAACAGGTAATGGGGTACCTTTGGTGTTAAACAGGCAGCACGCGTATTGAGGACGTGCTCGTTCCCTGGGGAGGTTTTTTAGAAATTGGTAATCACAGCCTAGAAAGAGCTAAGGCATCTCGGTTCTTAGAAAGTCAAGGGAACTTGGTTTTCTAGCAGGGTTTGGGCCATTAAACAGAATTACAGCTACACCACTGAGTGAGTCTCTACCAGCTCCAGAGTCTTTTAGGCTCATTATTAAATCATGTTTACCTTTTCCATAACTTTTCATGTTAATTCCAGTTTCCAAACTAAGGAAAAGCTCCCCTCGCAGCTCCCTGGTAGAGGCTGGGCTAAATAGAGTTTTCCACTTTGGATAAAAAATATTCTGTATTTGGCTCCAAACTACAGTATGCTTTATAGGAGAAAAAAAAATTAAATGTAGCAATTTTTGAATTAAATGTAGCAATTTAATCACCTCCCTTGACCTGCTGGCCACACTTCTCCTGATGCAGCCCAGAGTATGGTTGGCCTTCTGGGCTGCCAGCGCACATTGCCGGCTCATGTCCAGCTTTTCATCCACCAGCATCTCCAAGCCCCTCTCGGCAGGGCTGCTACATTAAAGGCCAACCTGGTCTTGAATGTTTCCAGGGATGGGGCCTACACTACCTCTCTGGACAACCTGTTCCAGGGTTTCACTACCCTCATGGTGAAGAATTTCTTCCTTATATCCAGTCTAAACCTACCCCGTTTTAGTTTAAAGCCATTATCCCTTGTCCTGTCACAGCTGTCCCTACTAAAAAGATTTTCCCCATCTTTCCTGTAGGCTCCCTTTAAATACTGAAAGGCCGCAATCAGGTCTTCTCCAGGCTGAACAAGCCCAACTCTCTCAGCCTGTCCTCATAAGAGAGGTGCTCCAGCCCCCGGATCATTTTTGTAGCCCTCCTTTGGACCTGCTCCAACAGTTCCATGTCCTCCTTGTGCTGAGGGCTGCAGAGCTGGATGCAGGACTCCAGGTGAGGTCTCACCAGAGCAGAGTAGAGGGGCAGAATCCTCTCCCTCGACCTGCTGGCCATGCTTCTCTTGATGTAGCCCAGGGTACGGTTGGCCAGTGCACATTGCTGGCTCATGTCCAGCTTTTCATCCATGTACTCTGGTTCATATTAACAAACTCAACAAAGCCTTGTTTTACTTTTAAACCTTCATCAACGGTGAAGGGCTCAGCACAGAAATGCAGTAATGACCTACTCATCCAGCTGCTTGCTCTTCTTTAGGGACCTGGCTCTCTGGACATAAAGCTAAGCAGAATGGGGGTGGGTAGAGGAGAACACAGCTTCTACGGAAAAACTCTGTCAAAGCTAAGTATACCTTGTTACTAGACCATAAAATACTTGGAACTGGTCTTTAAGGTGACTTGAAAATTGAAATACTTGCCACTGTTAATCTGAGTTTGAGAGGCAGCTCTCGATGCTGTGTTTCGTTCCTTGTTTTTACTGCCACTCAAATGACAGCGTAATTGGAGGCGCACACTCACTGTTGTCTTTGGGTGAGCGTTGGTGTGCCATCTAGCCTGGGCTAGGACTATGGAAAGAGCCCGAGGCTGCTTACGTAATGCAGTTATGCTGCTGTTACGTTATCGTTTTCAGCTGTAGTGCTTGAAGTACCATTAAATCAAATTATTTTTTCCTGTAGTACAAAGATAATAGCAACTGCCCTTTTATCTTCTTTCTGCTGTTTTTGTAGAATTCAGTATGCCGTTGGTTATGTTTTATCAGACTTTATTCAGTTGGATAAGTTGATTTCCAAAAGCCAAATTTTATTTAAAACTAAAAGCCACAAATACGGCAGGGAAAGCCATCTATATAACTTCTTGGGGTTTTTTTTTTTTTTTTTTTCTTTGTCAAGTCCTGTAAGATCACAAATAGGACAGAAAACCTGCAAAATAATTGAGGTTACCGAATAGTCCATCAATCCTGAAATTCTCAGTCATTTTCAGAATAATAGATTTGTACTGGCTAGAAGAGGTATGTGGGATACAAGTGAGATATGAGAACTTGAGCAAGCAAGTAATGTTAGGTTGGTTGTTCAAAGTATTTTTTGTCAAGTCCTGTAAGATCACAAATAGGACAGAAAACCTGCAAAATAATTGAGGTTACCGAATAGTCCATCAATCCTGAAATTCTCAGTCATTTTCAGAATAATAGATTTGTACTGGCTAGAAGAGGTATGTGGGATACAAGTGAGATATGAGAACTTGAGCAAGCAAGTAATGTTAGGTTGGTTGTTCAAAGTATTTTAAAGCTGTCTTGAGATCCCAGCACTATTTTTATTAAACAGAGGCAATGCAGAAATACATGTCAAAGCTATAAATCATAGAAAAGCAATGGAAAGGGAGATGAAATTACTCTGCCCCCTTGAGCCAATATCCATGTGAATTGCTAAAACCCTCGAGCGCTTTTTCCAGCAAACGTGAAGGAGGAATCACAAGCTGGCTGCTGGCATGTACCCAGGTCCCCGTGGCACCTGGTGGGATTCACCTCCAGCTTTCTGTACCCACTTCTGTGCAGACATCGCCTCTGAGCTGGTCACCCTTGGCTCCTTGCACAGATGAGCAGCTGCATCTGGTGCATGGCCGCCCTCGGGCTAAGGGGCACATCTGAAATGGGTTGTGGGGACCACATGGTGAAAGTGCCTGTTTCTGTCACTCAACTGTGCAGGGACCCTCGGGTGACCCACTCAGTCATGGGTGAAGTCAGGCATGGTGAGTCACGTCCCCACTGTTTTTGCAGGGTAAAAGTCTAGAATTTGGGGTAGCTCAAAAACATGCCTGGGAAAGTAAGGGCTGGTGAAGGAGCACGGTGCATAGATGTTCAACATCACAGGGGTTATTTGATGGAGCACTTCATGGCAGCGACCTCCAGAGCAGCACTGGGGAGCCTTGCAAGGCACCTGGACACACTGTGCTGTTCCTGGGGAGCTGGGGGACTCAGGGGACACTAGTAACAGGCACCAGAGACTGATGTCTCTGCCTACTGGTAGCAGAGCCTGGGCCAGAGATGGGTTTGCCTGGCTGGCAAGAGAAACTGAAGAACAGGATTCAAAAATCCGGTGTGCTGAGCAGGGAGCTGGTGAGAGACTGCCATTGCTGGTGCTTGGTGAAAAGTGCAAGGAGGTCAGGTGCCAAATCCTACCTCTCCTCTCCTGCCTCTTAGCTATTAATGAACTGGTTAAGAGCTGCATGTGAAATGGGAGCCCCCGTTTCATTTCCCTCACAGGGTGGGTTCGGGCAGACACCTCTGGTAGGGCTGTCCTGGCGCTCTGGCTGCAGGCTGGGCTGAGCAGGGTTGCAGTGGGGCAGAAAGCATGAGAAAGCATCCCTGTCTCATCTTCAGTCTCTCCTTTAGCCTCTCCTGATGACTAAAGCTTGCCATGGAGCACCATGGTACCTTCCATCCCCTCAAGGAAGCAAAGCTGGCCTCCAGACAACTAATCAAGATACATGAAGTAAAGAGCAGGAAAGGGGCCTAAGAGGGGTACTTGGGCTAAGAGGACCATAAAACCCTGGTCTTCAACTTGCCGGCTGAGTGCTCTGACCACTGCCTGGGGCTCAGGGGCTGCAGCGAGACTAGCTTGGTTAAGGGGAAGCCCTTGAACCACAGTCCCTACCCGAAGTAGGGAGACTTGAGCCTAATGGGCCAGAGGAGACTAATCTGAATGGATGCACAAGTTGGCTCTGAGAAGGGGAGTGTTTCTGAAGTGATCTGTGCTGTGAATATGTTGCTGGGAAAGCCAAACTAGAACTGAAGAGCAGGTTTCTGCAGACCTTTACAATGCTACAAGGAGATGCGCTTTGTGTGCTTAACCTGTGATGTCCTCAAGGCCATGTTGCTCCCCCATACTCCTGTTTCCCAAAGGGCTCAGTGATACTGGTGTTGGATCCTCATTATTGCCAGGGCACGCTCCAGATGTGTCATGGTACCATAGGTGTAGCAAGGTCTGAGGGCAAGAAGAGATGCCTGTAGTTGAATACATCGAACTGGGAAGTGGAAGAGCAGAGCCTGTAGGGCTCCTCGCTGGTGGCGAAGCCTCATGTGCTGAGTACAGGTAAGGCTTTTATTCCCTTGGGCGGCACATAAGAAATCCTCCTCTCCTCTCTCAAAATGCAGTTTGAAACACACAGAAATAAATTGCCATCTGTGTGATGGCCAGAAATTGTGCTATGCACTGAAGATATTTTTTTGTTACCTATTAATTTTGGTCTCTGCAAAGGAGATTCACTTCAAGGTAAGTCTGGAATAATGTAGCAATTGGTACAGAAAGCAGTATTTCCTTTTTACATGGCACAAGATGTGGCCAATCTAACAAAATAAATCGTGTGAATTATGCAATCTGCTTTCACCAAAGCATCTTAAGTAGTTCATAAATATTCCTGTATGCCAAATTCTTTAGGCAGAGCAAGAAAAAAAAAAAATGTTGTTGTACCCCAGCTCTCTGGAAAAACTGTTAAATTGCTAACAGATACATGATTCAGAGAAAGATACTTGGTTTCTTCTGGAGATATTGTAATAATTTCCAGCCTGTAATAAACTGAGAGTTAATTCTCTAGCTTTTTAAAAATTATCTCTTATGATTGTATGAGAGTAGGAAGATGGCTCATAGTTAAATCTGGAACTTTGGGAGATGTGAGTTGGATGGCAGGGTCTGCTGCAGGCTCTCGCTGACCTCAGATAAGTCTTTTAATCTCCATGTTACTCCTGTTTGCCCATGGAAAACTGAGATAATGTCCTTCTTTCATCAGTTCTCCCTTTAGTTTGCTTAGATTGCAATCTATTCAGGTCAAAGATTTAGTCTTATTTTATGTGGCATTTATATGGACCGATTTCACTGAGGGCCCTGAAGCTTGATCTACAGATAATTCTATTTTCTAATAGTATTATCTGGAAAATATCTACAATTAATCCATGAAGAAGTACTAAAATCAGAGTGAATAACAGTTCCTCCCAAACTGCCTAAAATTTGTATCAAATTGCAGAATGGCAATATTATATCTAGATGATTAGAACAGCGGCATACAGCTGGCAGATGAAGGTCCCTGATGTTGGCACAGTCTGAATATTTTATGCTAAAGTGCTCTTTTTGCTCTAAGATGGCTGGTATTTGTTATGTCTTAACATCGTGTCTTAAAAAGCTTGTAAAGGAGAAAAAGTAATTTCTGCAGAAGCTAGACAGTAGCATTCCCCCTTATTGCCAGTTCCAGCAGAACTATTAGGTAAGAAAAAATGCTAAAGATAAGTACCAGTGAAAATGAAGATATTAAATCTTTCTCTTCTGTTAGCTTGTGAGGCAAAACTGAGGAAGAATGAGACCACCACCACATAAAACCAAATTCTGAAGTGAATGGAAGGCCAATGCATAGTTTTAAAGCAATGGAAGGCCAATGCATAGTTCCAGTGCACTAGCTTTCCTTTGTAAACAGAAGACTCAAAACTTATACCTAGACTCCTTGGAGAAACTGGAAAGTACAAAATTAAGCAGTAGTTAATGAGGATAATAGAAATTTTTCCACAGAACTGCCCAGAATCAGATAAATAACATCAAGGAGCCTGATTTTTCTGCCTTCTGTGAAGCAGATAGCAAAACTCTCGAGTTCAGTTACCCGACTGATGGGAGCTGCCATCTCCTCCTGATGGGTTGTAATGTTGAACGTCCTCACGCCCGGCCACCTGCCACAGTGCCTTCCCCCAGCTTGCCTTGCCTTGCCCATCCATAGCATGGCTTCAGTCATCTCTCTCCCACGGCACAGAGTAGTCAGGACAGGGGTATGGAGTATGTATGTCCAAGTGCTTATGTCCAGATGTTAGGTGACAGCATTTGAAAGTCCTCTGGATTCCCTTGCAGATGATGAAGGGAAAGACATGTTTCTAGGTAGCCATCCACGTAACCTGTTTTAGACTTCTGCCTCACTTCAGATTTCTCTTGACTGACTATGAAGGATGAAACGTATCTGAAATAACTTTTCTTCCCTTCTGTAGGATAAGTGTGAAACTCTTGGTCTCCTGAGGGGCTAAACCAGCTGCAGGCTCTGCTGCCCATGATGTACAGGGGCAGCACGAAGCCTGTGCCCAGGATGTGTCTTGGGTTGGTGCCTGCCTTTCCTGGCTCCCTCAGTAAAGCCATGTGTGTGTTATTCTGCCTTTCCTCTTCCTGTGGCCACCTCTGTGAACGTAGGGGCACCCACAAACCTTGCCCCTGCTTCCACGTCCTGGGACTCCCTGCATGTTTGTGGGAAGGGCAAGGGGGCTCTTGGCTGTTGGGGAACTGGGCCTGGATCTTCACTGCTGTGTAGGTGAGCCTGGGACAATGTGAAAGCCCTGGTTTGGGTTTACATGGCAAATAAGCCTGTATCAGTAGTGCGAGGGTTTGGGCAGAAACATGCACAGGGATGCAGCCTGAGGCTGCAGGAGCCCTTCCTCAAATAGTGAAAGAAAGGGGAGTTAGAAATGAAAAAAAACCCCCACTGTCCTGGTTTCAGCTGGGATAGAGTTAACTTTCTTCATAGTAGCTAGCATAGTGTTGTGTTTTGGATTTAGTACAAGAAGAATGTTGATAACACACTAGTGTTTTTAGTAAGTAGTGCTTAGATTACTCAAGGACTTTTTGATCTTCTCCTGCTCGGCCAGGTGCACAACAAGCTGGGAGGGAGCACAGCCAGGACAGCTGACCCAAACTGGCCAAAGAGCTATTTCATACCATATAATGTCATGCTCGGGGGGAGTTAGTTGGTCAGAGGGGGGAAGAGTGATCGCTGCTCGGGACGGGCTGGGCATCGGTCGGTGGGTGGTGAGCAACTGCATTGTGCATCATTCGTTTTGTATATTCTGCGTATTCTGTTACCATTCTCATTATTACTATTATTATTCTTTTCTCTTATTAAACTGTCTCTATCTCAGCCCACGGCTCTAACCTTTTTTGTTCTTCCTGATTCTCTCCCCCATCCCACTGAGGGAGGGGGGAGTGAGCGAGCGGCTGCGTGGTGCTTAGTTGCCAGCCGGGTTAAACCATGACACCCACCCAGAAATAATGATTTACGAATAAATCTTCCCAGTCTCTGTCCTCACTTCCTTTGGGGTGTTGACTGTTTCTAAGGCACTACACATTTTAATAATGTCCAACCTCAAAATCCTTACTTTTTCACTGATGGAAACAAGCATGGTGGTCTTGCAGCCTTCTGACCACTTGCAAAAGCTTCGGTTCCTCTTTGGCCTGCCTGCTCTGCAGAGGTCCCAGTAATGAAATGCTGGTGGGTGTTTTCTGAACACCTTTGCTGCTTTTAACAACTGCTACTGCCTCCATGCTTGTGCAAGGGCAAGTCTGCGTGGCCAGTCACGAGAGAGGAGTCGAAGCAAGAGACAACTTCAAAGTTTCAAATTATACACTTATACACTGAAATGTATAATTCATACTCATGAGAATTGTGTACAAATTCTTGTTGCATTGTATAATTTGTGCATATGACCTCCTGTAGTTCCTCACTGAATGTCTTTTTTTCTTTTTTTTAACTAAAAAAAAAAAGGGGGGTTTCTGTTCACTCAGCTCCCTAGAATTTGCTAACTGTAACTGGTCTTGTCTTAGATGTAATGTTGCCTGTTTTTTGCTGGATGGGACAGGCCTGAACAGGGAGCATGAACAGTTATCACCTCAGTATGTGAACAATTAAAGGCAAAACGCTGGAGTCCTTTGCATGGACAATGTTTGTGCTGCATGGCTATGGATTTACAGCGGCGGTCCCACAGATGATGTCCTGCTGTTCTTTGCACGGTTAGTTGTCTTAAATTATGTTGGTTAGCCACAGCTCTCACTAACTTGAAGAGGTTTTATAGGTGTGCAGTGCTTTAGAAACTGAGACCTCTTAAAGAAAATAAATAGGGACTCGATCGGCACTCTGTGGCAGCTAATCTTTTGCTACTTTGTCTAGTGATTTTTCAAGAGCCAGAAACCTTTGCCTTAATAGCCTCTAATTAATGCATGTTTTCCTCTATTACTAGCACACCTGACATCTCTTCTTCATGTAGTATCTAAACATGATTTCTGTTTTTCATGTCAGCATCTGAGTTTCTCATTCATGTCATGTATAAACCCATGCAGGTTGGATCTCCAGTGTTTTCATCAGCAGCTTATGCTATACTGCGCCCTTTCCTAATATCCTTAATCTCTGCTTCTGGCAAATAAAATAGTGACCTACTTTATTTTTCTGCCTTCAGAAAAAAAAAAAAAGCCAAAGTGCACGTGGTGGAGCGGCAGCTGCTCTTTCCTGACACAAGCAAAGAGCTGTAGTGACCTGGTTCAGAGCTTTGCTAAAGCCATTTCTGCTTCTACATCTCCTTCTCCATGGTCTCTGCATGTGGGCACTTGCTGCAGCCCTGCCATCACCCAAGTCTGGACAAAACAGAGGAGAAGAAGGGATAGCCTGCAGGTGAGGATGGGTTATTTACAGGCAAAGTGGACTTGGGGGCTGTATCCCCTCTAATGCAGCAATGAGTCCTGCTTGCAAAGCTGGAAACAGGCCAACAGCTCTGGAATGCCGCACCTCCTCTTTGACCTCCGCCTAAGCTACCACTTATTTGGAAAATGTGTGGGGAGTAGGAACCAATGCACTGCATTCACTTTGCAATATGGGAGAATGGGGGCATCTTTCCCGTGGTTCCCTCCCTTTCTGTAGTCGATGACAGCATCAGCATTGACTCATCAACCTGCTTGCCTCATGGGCAACTTCCAGGAGCTCCAGTGCTTCACAAGCCTGTCGTACGGTGATGAGAGCTAGGCACCAAAATAGAAAATCAATAGTATGCAAGCAGTCTCCTCCCACATGTGCTTTTGAAAATCTCCCCCACAACCTTTTGCATCAACAGTAACCAGATTGCACCTATAAATCTGCTACCCTTAATCTCCTTGAGTACTGCTCCAGCACTTGTCTCTCATCCCTAACTTAAAGCCCCCTTATTGACAGATGCACACACACAAACAACTTTTTTGTTCCCCCCTCTCAATCCTCCATTGTTCAAAACCAACATATGCCGACAGCTCTGGCAGGGCTGTATCCATCC